TTAATGAACTTTTTTTTTTCTGGTGGAGACTAAAACTTCATTGAAATGCATTTAAAAGGCCAGATTAAACAGTTATGCCGTGTATGGATTAGAAGCTTAATCTGTGTCATACATACATCAGTGGGGACTAGAAATTCAATCAAAATCCCAACCAGTTATTTTGTCTCTTTAAATGTAGAACTTGCAAGAGTAAATGGCTAAGAATGCCCAAGCCACTCCTGAAGAAGAAAAAATGTATGGTGATGTTGAGGGTAGAGGTGAGATTAGTACTCTAATATCAAAAGTTAAAAAAATAATCAGTGTAGGGATCAGGATAGCTGGCAGAAGGCTAGCCAGACTGCCCCCTGTATGAGAGTAGAGGCTGTTGGCAGCATCTCTCTCTCTCTCTCTCTCTCTCTCTCTCTCTCTCTCTCTGTCACACACACACACTCAACAACTTCAGTTGTGAAACAGTTAATGTCATAGGTCCGTGGGGACGAGGATGAGCTTTTCAGTAAATGGAGCTGGAACAACTACTGATCCATGTGGTAAAAAAGGTTAAATTGGCTTTCTACCTCACACTTTTCACAAAAATGAGCGCAGACTAAAGGCAAATGTGTAAAGGAAAGCGACAGAGCTTCACAAGGCAATGCAGGAGACTTCAGGTCAGAAATGAGTCCCTGTCTCCTGCCCCCAAACAGTCCATACTGAGCTTTGTAAGATACTTTTCAAAAAACATCACGTTACTCACACCCGGACATAGGTGACAATAAAATTTTAAATTTCTGAATCAATTCCCCTCTAGAAGAAGTCATTATAAAAGTCAACGAAGTCCTTTTTTTTTTTTCCATTTTTTACAAAGCTACAGTGAACAGGACAGCTTTTCAATGGGGCGGGCATAGCACATGAGGGAGGCATTTGGTTGAAGAGCCCTTCCTGCGCCAGCTCTGATGTTGAGAAAGTGAACTGAAATCTGCAGAGTCCTCCCTGGATGACTCACACACTCAAACAGGAACTGGGGCTCTTTCAGGCAACACCACCTTGGTGTCCTCATCAGGAAGTTTGAATTGCCTGAGTGTTGTTACCTGACACTGCTAATTTGGAGCATGCTGGGGCCACATCAGTGGAGTCCTGGTGTGGTGCTGTGGGTTAATGCACTGGACTGCAAAGTTGGTGGTTCAAGCTCACCAGCTGCTCCTCTGAAACCCTGTACAGGGTCACTATGGGTCGGAACCGACTCAGTGGCACTTAACAACAGGGCCACATCAGGACTCATGTTTAAGGAAGTCAAGTGTGTGCTGATAGTATCGGGGGAAGAGCAGAGGACATGAAGCTTTGTCCTCCCTGCGCACCCCTCCCTTGCTGCAGTACTCGGTGTCAGAGTGGTCTGAAGTGGGGGTTTGGGGGTTTGAGGGTTTGAGGGAACCCTCCAGTTAACCAGTAACCAAGTCCCAGCGCAGAAAATCCGGTTTGCTTCCATTTCACTCTAGCTTCTTAGATGTCTTCTAGTGGTATTGGCCCTTTCCACAAAAGCCAAAACTGAAATATTCTATGTGCTAACAATATAACTTCAAAATTAAAATGAAAAGCTAAACCAAAATTCTATATTTATAAAACTTGATTAAAAAAAAAATGTTTCAAACAACAGTAATCAGAAGTGCGCCCTTATGACCTTGTGCTCTCTTCCTGTATAATGTTCATGTGTCATCCCACAACTCTCTAGTGTTCGGTCATTAGTATCTGATACATCAAATCTGTTCTTGAGATGATCTCGAAATTCAGGTGGGATATGTTTAAGGTCATATTTTGGTTCTTGTTGCCTTGTTTCATTTTCTTCAGCTTCAGCCTGAAGTTACATATGAAGGGTTGATTGGCTATTTTACAGTCTGCCCCTGGCCTTGTTTTGGCTGACGATATGGAGCTTTTCCACGGTCTCTTTCCACAGATGGAGTCAATTTGATTTCTGTGAATTCCATCTGGTGAGGTCCATGTGTGTAGTCGTCTTTCAGGTTATTTAATAAAGGTCTCTGCAATAAAGAAGCCATTGGTCTTGCAAAATTCAATTATGGTATGGACTCCTGATGTGGTGCTGTAGGATCAGCACTGGACTGCAGACAACAAGATCGGCAGTTCAAATCCACCAACTGCTCCTCGGAAACCCTATACAGTGTCACTATGAAACAGCTCCAGCATGGTTTCTATCACCAAGGCCATATTTTCCAACTACTGATCCTTCTTTGTTTCTAACTTTGCACTCCAATTGCCAGTGATTACTAATACATCTTGATTGCCTGTTTCAATGGTCACTGGCTTTAGTGGTTGGTGTGTAAATTTGAATAATAGTGGTATTGACTTGTCTTCCTTGTAGGATATCATCCTATCACAGATAGACCTTGAAGTCTTCTTTGATAATGAATGTGATGCCGTTCCTCCTCAGTTTGTCATTCCTGACATAGTAACCTATATGACTGTCAGAGTTCAAAATGGCCAGTACCCATCCATTTCAGTTCACTGTTGTTATTGTTGTTACATGCTGTGAGTCGTTTCCGACTCACAGCAATCCTGTATAGGGTTTCCAAGGAGCAGCTGGTGAGTTTGAACCCCTGACCTTGCTGTCCAGTGCTTTATCACACAGTACCACACCCAGGATTCCAGTGCTTAGGATATCCATCTTTATTCGTTCCATTTCAATTTTGACACCTTCCAATTTTCCTAGATTCATACTTGCTGCATTCCATGTTCAGATTATTAATGGGTGTTTGCAGCTGCTCCTCCTCATTTTGAGTTGTGTCCCACCAGCAAATGAAGGTCCTGAAAGCTTTACTCCATTCACATCATCATAGTCAGCTCTACTTTGAGGAGGCAGCTCCTCCTTCCCCAGTCTCATTTTGAGTGCCATCCAACCTGAGGAGCCCGTCTTCCAGCACTATATCTGACAGTATCTGGTCCTGTTTGCAGTGCTTCAGTATGCAGCATTGTGGTGCTGTCTAACAGTGTTCCTCTGATGTTCATAAGTATTTCTGTGGCTAGACATTCAGAAGTAGTCTGAGAGCTCAGCTGAAACCTGCCCACCATGGGTGACCCTGCTGGTATGTAAAATACTGATGTTCTCGCTTCCAGCATCAAAGCAGCGTACAAGCCCCTACCGTACAACAGCTGCCGGATGAGTGGTGGACAGTATTGAATAGGTTTGCTGATAAAGGTCATCCATACTAACCTTCTGGTCGAGTGCTTATCCTACAGTGCCACACGGGTCCTTAATTGTGTTGAGAAATTTGCCTTCTGTTCCTATTTTCATGAGTATTTTTTTCTTTTAATCAGAAGGCGGTGTTAGATTTTGTCAGATGACTTTTCTGCATCAATCAGTACAATCATGCAGTTTTTTCCCCTTTGCTTTATGGGGTGGATCACATAGATTTAATATTGAGCCATCCTGCATAACTGTTATGAATTCCTATGGATCATGGGGTTTTTTTTTGATACATTGTTGGGTTCTAATCGCCAAGACTTTGTTGAGAATTTTTGCAGCTGTGTTCATGGGGAATGTTAGTCTCTGCCTGGTTTGGGTATCAGGGTTAAACCTGCTTCATAAAATATCTTCAGGAGTTGTCCAGCCAGTTGGTGTCAGCTTTTCTCTGAATGTGTGGTACAATTCACCAGTAAAACCATCTCTGTCTGCGTTTTTTATTGTTGTTGGGAGTTTTTAAATAACCTGATCAATTTCTTTTGGTATAGCCCTGTTGCAAGTTTTCTACTTCATTCTGTGTTGGTTCAGGCAGGTCATGTATTTCTAGAAATCTGCCCATTTCTTCTAGATTTTCAAATTTTTTGGAGTATAATTCTTCATAGTATTCTGTCAGTATCGTTTTGTTTCCATTGATCCTGCGTCTCTTCTCTAGTCATGGGCCATGTTCCACGCTCACTCCTGAAGAGTGGTGGTCTTGTATGTGGAGCCCAGGTCTGAGTGCCTCCCTTTCCCAGGTATAGAAAGCTCTGCCCAGTGGTATTGTTATTGGTGAAACCACGGAGAAGCTAGTTTCCTCCTAGGGCTTCAATTGGCCTAAGAGGTGGCACACACGGGGCCAGGGTTGCCTTGGCATCACTGTTGGTGGGCATCTGTGCCGTTTGCCTTCAGGCCCACTGCATGGCAGAGCACTGAGGCTGGGAGGCTGGTGCTGGCTGGCCTCCCAAGGCCTTTGTTTTGGTCCGAGGACTATTCATGGCCCAGACTTAGTAATGCTTCCCATGTGTCCTCAAGCACATCTGGAGCTCAAGTTGATAAGCTGGAATGTTTTCCAGAGTTCTTAAGGATAAATTAAAAAAAAAATCTATAAAATACAGTATTTCCGGTTGGAAGAAAGACGTTCATTTTCATGAGTGAGGCTGAGAAGGCTCTGTTGGGTGTGGAAGGGTGGAAGGCTGGACAACCAGTCCTCAGAAACCTTGGTCACTGCCGTGGAGAGAGCCCCACCTCGTAATGACCCTGCAGAGAGCTCGGGAGGCTGTAACCTTGTACGGAAGCAGAGAGCTTTGACCTGTTAAAGCCCCTGCTTGTTAGGCCAACCCCCGCCCAGAAAGACTTAGCAAACTTGCGCTGCAGTGTTGGCCACTTCCTGTGCCGCGTTTGGGCGTCTAAGTACTCTCCTTTTGAGTGTTTTGGGTTCACGACTCTGTAGGTGTCATTTTTTGATGGTCAGGTGAGCATTTTCAGGGTTAGTGTGTTTGTTTCATATGTGGCTTGTTCAGAATTGTCATAACACTTCATAGTTTATATTTGTACATGCCTTCAAGTAACTCTCCTGTATGACCTCCGTGGATTGGGTTTGCCCCTTCCAACTGACCCAGATGGCAGGTTGGGCCTGCACCAGCCCATTTGTGGAAAGGCCCACTCACAGGGTGTACAGGACTTGGAGCCATCACAGCTACGGCAGGGTTCTTGGGGTGTAGCATGAAGCCAGTGTAGATGCAGTGATGGCAGGTGGTGTCCTGTTGGCTCAAAGTCCTCTTGGCTTCTCTTTCAGGGCCCTCTTTACTTACGAAGGCAACAGCAATGATATCCGCGTGGCTGGCACTGGGGGTGAGTATGGCCGTGTGAGGGACAGCGGTGCTCTCTGCTGGACTGGGAAGGAGGTTGCCAACAGGTTTCTCTTCAGGGGGAGAGCAGTGACCCCCAGTTACCCCTCTCCTCTGGCATTTCAGTCACCGCCACGGGAGGGTGTCAGCTGCATACGGTGACTGCACTGCCTCCCCTCCCCGTTGAAGGAGGGTACCCACAGACCCCACCCACACTGCTTCACTCAGGTGTCATCCCCTGCTCTGGTCGTGAAACCAGCCGTGGTGGCCTAAGGAAACCCGGTGAAAACTGAGCAAAGAGCCTCAGCCATTTCTGTCCCCTGAGCCTTCCAGACCTTCAGTACCCCTGGTCACCCTGGACCAGCTTCTCTGAGGAAAAGCATTTTCATCTGGCTTTTCAGCCAGCAAGGCAGACAGTGCTGACCTCTTCCCGGTGGGAGTGCTGAGCCAGAAACCACGGGCAGGCTGTAACCCGGTCCCTGCTGCAGTCTTGGCCCTCAGCTGTGGAGCCAGGTTGCTGCAAGTGGGGGGCCGTCTGAAGCCTCCTCATCTGCTCATGGTGCAGTAAGCGATGGAATGCCTGTGGAGGGACCCCAGACTCAGGAGAGCCTAGTGTTGGGCCAGTAGTGGCCAGCCCAGGCGCCCCCTGTCGGACGAGGGGGCAGAGGATAATGGCATGCAGCACCCTGGACCGGATCTGCTGCTAGAGGCCTGTTGTGGAGCCGGCCCCCCTCCCTGGGGTGAACCTCCTTGCTTGGTATAGCCCTATGTATACTCTCGGTGTTCATCTCCAAGAGGAGGATGCACAGACCCTTGACCAGCTGGCCAGGTTTTCTGCTTTCTGAAGATCACCCTGGTTTGCTTATTGTGCCCCAGTGCTAATGGCAAGCTGTCTGCACAGGAATTTTGAGCTAGGGGTCCCTCTGCCTCCTTCCTTGTCCTCATGTACTCGGAGCAGGGGGCTGGGCCGAAGAGGTGGTCCCAAGTGGGAATGGCTCCAGTTGGGTACCCAGGGATGGCCTTGGTTCTCCAACCCAAGACCCTCCTGGCCGCTTCCACTCTGCTCAGCAAGCCCTGGTCTTCCTACAGAACTGCTGAAGCTGAAGAGTGACTCTCAGCAGAGGTCTCCTGTCACATGTGATAAAGCCACATGGAGACTCGGAGACCAGGAACGCCTCTGTCACAGGGACTCAGGCACCGGAAACAGTCACTTCTTGGGAAGCTGCAGGCCTTCCTGAGCAGCAGTAGTGGGGCTCTGCCCTGTTCCTTAACGGAGAACATGGAGAAAGGCTCAGGTATTGGCAGAGATGGTGGAAGACGTTGGCCATCCTGACCAGAAGCAGGGGCCCCTTGGTCTATAGTGTAGGGCCCAGAGCACCAGTTGAATGTCTGGTTCCCATTCTAAGCAGAGCAGCCTTTCTAGATATTCTTGTGATCCTGAGCTTTGGGAAATGCAGATTGTCCCCCACTCAGACCATCAGTCAGAATCTGCATTAGTGACCCAGCTCTGCTGTGGAGTGGGTATGCACAGTGATGCCCAGCTCGGGTACCTTTAGCTTCCTGGATGGGCAGAGGCAGAGCTGTGCGCACTGGGACTCACCCTGTGTGCGTCCCACTGCCTCACCACAATTCATTAGGATGGGGCCTGAGAGGCAGGGCCGAGTGGGGGCAGACTGTCCAAGGCTGAGGGGATCCCACCCATCTCACTGGGGCAGCACTGTAGGCTGACACCCTCTCCTGTACACCACAGCCTGTAGGCTTGGCCTGAAGTCTGACCACTAGTCCCCAAAGACTTCCTGTGTGGGGAAGGCCTGATGTAGGCAGGTTGGCCTCCTGATTTGAACATTGTCCTCACAGGGTTAATTGAAGGTGGGTTACTTCACGGGACCTGTCTAGGGGCCCTGCCTGTGGCCACAAGCCTCCTGAACTCATTTCCCATCAGGCTTCTCAGCACCTTCTCACTTGCCCTTCTGTTCTTGTCCCTGGCCCGCCCTGGCCAGCATGCCTTCCCAGCTACCAGAGTCTCAGACTGTTTGCCCAAAAGGGACTTCCCTGAGCTGATGGGGATGGCAGGGACAAGCCCTACCCCCAGGAGTAGAGCAGCTTCCTGCTTTGCTTTGTGGTAGAAAAGGAACCTTTGAGAACTGGCCTCTGGGGGGAATGTCCGCCCTACCTGCCCCTCCAGCGTCCTCTCCTGCCCTACCTTAATGTGCCAGGTAGCCGATGAGGCCTGACCCAGCCTGACTATTCCGACACACGGCTTGCCTCCCTCAAGCAGAGGTTTCCTTAGGCCTGTGCATGTATCAGGTGTAGAAGTGAGAACTAAGTCATTGTTCTCGAAGCGGGGGCAAGGATGTGCCTGGGAGACGGGACCTTCCAAAAGGAGTTGCTAGTGCTGTGGGAGAGTAAAGGTAAAACAAGGGCCTAGTGACCTGAAGTACGGGCGTGCACAGATCCGACTCAGAACTCGGCTGCTGTGCTCAGCCTCGTATCCTGGCAGTGACCTTGTGTAGGGCTGGCCCTTGGTGCTGTCGGGCCCATGAAGGCCAGTGAACTGGGTCTGGCCAGCATCTGTTGGTCTTTCGGCCAGCCACAGCCATGGGGGAGGCTGAACAAGGGATGGTGGGAAATGACAGGTATGTGAGCCCAAGGCCCCACTATGTTCTTCCACACAAAGCCCCTGCACCCTGCTGATGCCCCGGTCACTCGCGGTGCTGGAGACCACAGCTTCCGTGGGTCCTGGCATTGGTGGAGTTGAGGTAGAGGCCCTCTCTTGGAAAGCCCAATTGCTGATTTGTAGCCAAAATGACATTTGTTTATTTCCAAAGCTACCTATGGATTCAGTAGAGTGGTTCTTAAACTAAAGTGTGTAAAAAATCATCTGAGGTATTTCTCATACATGAGGACCCCCAGTTCTGATGGATCCGGTTAGTGGGACCCCAGGGAGAGGTAACAGAGCCCCAACTAGGTCTTGGCTCTGCTGTAGTGGGTTACCTGTCTGGAGAAGGTGTCTCTGACCCCCATCCATGTCTCTGCTACAGAGGGGGGCCTCGAGGAGCTGGTGGAAGAGCTCAACAGCGGGAAGGTGATGTATGCCTTCTGCAAGGTGAAGGACCCCAACTCCGGCCTGCCCAAGTTTGTTCTCATTAACTGGGTATGTGCAAAGGGGGGAGGACAGGGATCACTGCTCTTGTCCCGCAGTCTTGCCCCAGATCCAAAGTACTGTCCAGAGGCAGCCAATTTTCGGGCCCCCTTCTCCTTTCACCTGATGTGGGCTAGACATCCGGACCACAGTGCTTTCCTGGCAGATCAGCAGGACCAGCGCAACAATCCGTTTATTGTGAACCTTGTTGCATAAAATCCACACTCCGAGCCCAGCAGTGCATCCTGTGAATGGGGCAGAGATAAACCCAGATGTTCCCTCGTCTCTTTCATTGATACTTAGTCTGAGGGAGCAGGGGACCCAAGAGAAGTGCCGAGAACCTCTGGGGGTCTTCTGCAGGTCACGGGTTTGCATGGTTGGGGGAGGAGACTCCCCACAACAGAGCCTGCAGCCAGCCATGTCTGCATGCCACCATCAGGGATGTGTCTTCTGCTTCGGAACTTGCATCTTTCTGGAACACCCTAGGGTGGTGGTGACCGTGGGTAGAGGGCCCAGGTGGTGACCGGAGTTGCAGGGTTGTGCTGGGTGGGGTGGTGGTGACCGTGGTACAGTGCCCAGGTGGTGACCGGAGTTGCAGGGTTGTG